GCGTAGAGGGATACTTACTGAAGATGAAACTATGAAAATGCAGTATGAGTAATGAAGATGAGTCTGCCAGTGCCTTTGTCATGCAATGACGATGACCTATAAAACACAAGACAGTGCTCTCAGTAATGCGTTACACTGTCACTTATCTGCAACAATTCTCCAGGTGCGAGGAGAAAAACTGTTCACCAACTCTGGCTCTGTGTTAGTTGAGCACAATTAGCAGAACTCCGGAGCTCAACAGTTTTACAGCATGGTGGGACATTTTTGCTTCATCTCGCAATTTTTAGATCTCATGTCAGGAGAACAAAAGTGTCTTAATATCAACCTGGACACACGCAATAAATAATCACGACAGTACTGTAGTAATTTTGTTGTAGCTGAAATAAAGCAGACCCGAGGAAAGTTCCTTGTGTGTCCAACATCACCTTGTTATGCTGGGCCATACTGTGGAAAGAGGTGACACACATGAACATCTCTTTCCACAGTATGGCAGACTGGGGTGTTAGTCATGTAAACATAGCATGCATGAAGAAGAGAAATTGAACCATTTTTAAATGTGTGGGATCCTTAGCAGACTTTTAATGTGAGGGAAGCATTTTTATTTTTCGCATGTCAGGAGAAGACAGGGAAATACAATTATTGAGCAAACAAAAACATGCTGGAAACATTTGATAAACTGGCACCCCAATATCATCCATGGCAGTGTGTGAGAGAAATACAGCATGGATTTAAAGATGCACTGTGCACTAACAACTAAAGTGTGTCATGAAATATTTTTTATTAAACTTATTAAAATCTATCTATCATTCTGCTCTTTAATAGTGAGGTGCTAGTGTTGAATAATGTTAAAATTATATAGAATTTTAAAATCGAGGCAAAGTTGTTATCTAGTAGGATTAAGTATAATATAATTTTTTTAGTTTGATAGGTTCTTATTTTCTACAAACTACATTTTTGTACTTTGGACAGAACCATTTCTTTGTAAACTGTACTGTTTTAAAAGGTGATGTTTGACAAGAATCTATCATTATTACTACACTATTATTCATATTATACAGTACATGACCCATAGCACTCCAACTTGTAAATTACTTCATAGAGAATATGCAGTTCCAACAGAATTTATCCACAAAGTATAAATGACATTGTCCACAAATTAGTTAATAAGTTAATATATCATTGCTGTTCAATATGTAGAAATTTAAAACTTTCCAAAAAAGTCCCCCAAAAAACAAGAGTATCACCTGGCTCAAGACTAAAATGAACTATCTGATATGTGTTTCAAAAGCTGCCGAATGTGGTCTCCTTCCAAATCCAGCAGCTTTTTTAAAAAGAACACATGGAAGAAGCTATTTAAACTTGTAAACTTTTTCTTTTCCCCAGTGACCAGCACATCTGGGTGAAGGCGTCTGATGTGCATTTACATGCTTGACATGTTGCCATGTAATAGCATGGCAACATGTCTACCATCTAATAGCAATACAAACTGTGTTTATCCGATACAACAAATGCACACGGTCATCGTTATAGTTGAGAGGGAAGCACCTGCTGATATCTACACTTCTAAATACCCCACAAATTTACATTGCAGACTCCAAATATTTGGTTTATTTTTAAGGAATAAACAGCATACTCTAGCTTGACCAAACATGTTTGTTAAGGGGGATAGCAAAAAATATTTTGCATTTGTGCTCATGCAACAAATCATTTAGTCCAGGGTTCACATAAAAACAACTAGCTCGTCAGTTTGTCTGAAAAGGAATTTGACTTAAACATACACTTACACTGACCAAACTCAATGAACCAGGCGAGTAAATTTTGGGGTCAAGTGAACAAAGTCTGTGTTTCATTGAGTTTTCTTGCCCAAACTCATTGTAAAACCATGTTGAGTTTAGCATTACGACAAAATAGCACAAGATTACACAAGAATAAAATGCTACTGTGGACATGCAACATTTCGATGCAATGTCATCTGTACACATTAAGAGATGGCGATCACTTCAGTCGACCCACTGTGATGGACAAACCCAAACACGTAGGCCAAAGACCTGTGACCAGTGGACGTCTGTCACGCAACATGACAGCAGATAGAGTGAAGCCGTGCAGCTATTCGTGTGAGTGTGTGTGTTGTCAGGTAAAAGTGCTGATGCCCGACGGGTGCTGCGAGTTCAGTCCTGAGCTCCTCCCGTACAATAACAGCAAACCATTAGTCAGGTAGTAAGAAACCATCCGATCGCCCAGATCCTACCTCTCTAAGTAGACATTTTTTCATCCCCGTGCAAAATGTCGATCTGAGCTCTGACAAGACGGACAAGCCGACTGAGAGTCCATCTTGCATCGGGTTTGAAGGAGATAACCCGTGTACAGTAGAGCACAGCGGTGGTGGAGGGGGGGTAATTCACTCCTGTCAAACTCTCCGGCGACAATGTCGTCGAAATGTCTCCCACTGTGAGGACACCAGGGCCACAGTGATTAATTAAAGTGGGGATTTTCTGTCCGACCACATGCATCCGTGTCCGGTGTTTTGCCGAGCACCCACTCCATTTGCTTACACTGTTAGTAGGAATATAAAAGTAGCCTGTTAGCCTGTTAGCTGCGCTGCCTGCTAACTGGACGTGTCACAGCACTAACCAGTATCACAGTGGCTTTTACTCTGCACTGTAGCTTCGCGAGGAGCTGCTGACAACTGGAGTTGTCGCTGCTGTTGCGGCACTTGGTTTCACACACAACGCCAGCTTTTTGCTGTGTGTTTGATGCAGATGGGAGGCGGAGGAGAAGAAGGAGGAGGAGAGGACTCATACCACCTCAGTGGGAAACAGTTGCTTTGCCATTTATTTTAAACGTTGATATGAGACGAGAGAAAGAGAGGAAGCGCTGGAGCAGCGGTGACAGCACTGTGGGCTGCGCGGCTCTGCTCGGCAATGTGATGTCGAAGAGAAACAGGGGAATTGTAGGGAAGTCGGAAGGCGGACATCATGTCCACAGCGGCGATAATAATATTTTTTCAGAGTGACTGACTGAGAGGTGTAGAAAACACACAGAAAAGCCATGAAAGCAGAGCTTCTCTATCAGTATGTCTGAACATACCTCTGATATCCTGCTCAGGTACCGCAGCGGGCGTCTCATCATTGGTGCCGTCCACCTTTTTTAACTTATTGACACATCATAACAGTTCAGCACTGGCTGCACACACACCGTGGCGTCAAGTCTCCAGGAATTTGACGTGTTCAGAGAGGAAGTATAAAGACTTTGTCACCAAAATAAAGCGCGAGTTTCAACACGCCTCGTGAAATTTTACTGTTTACATCATTGATCTACTTTACCTTGTATCTTCTTTTCCTTTCGGCCTTTTTTCAGGGATTATCTTATTTAGTATAGGTCATATTGTTTTTTTTTACTGCAATTATTAGTGAAATATTCAAAAAATTGCCTAGTGCCAAATAAAGTAACAGTATTTTTGTTGATGTCATTTTAGATTAGATCCAGATTTGCTCTTTTACAATTATGTTATTAGTTCAACAATCAAAAATATATTATTTTGTACTGCTTTAATCACCAGAAGCTGAAAACAATCAAATGACATACACCCTGGACAGTAACAATTGCACTTGCGTTTACACCTACAACACAATACAAACATGTACACTTGCACATGGTAGTGTCCAAGTGTCACTAGAGATAGATAGATAGATAGATAGATAGATAGATAGATAGATAGATAGATAGATAGATAGATAGATAGATAGATAGATAGATAGATAGATAGATAGATAGATAGATAGATAGATAGATAGATAGATAGATAGATAGATAGATAGATAGATAAGACTTTATTTATCCCTTGGTAGTTTCCTTTGGGAAATTTAGGATTAAATGAATCCAGCGTAAAAAGTGTACAAAACAACAATTGCCCTGTGGTGGCCTTTCAGAAATTGGATGAAAAGGAGTTTCTGCCTTTACATTATATTTACAGTTTGCTCATTATGTTTTGACAAGATATCTTTGCTGATAAGATAAGGTAGTGTGACACCAAAACTAAAGAAAGGTTTCATATACTTGAGAAATACTACTGAGAAATGAGCATGACCTTCAAATTGTATTGGTAATAGATAAAATAACCATGCTGCCACAATGGAAACAGACACTGTTGCTTAAGATTATTATACACAAAGGCTGACTTTTTATATTTGTAGAAAAAAAATGTAGAGTTCTATTCAGGCATCCGGAATAGAATAAGGGTGCACCTGTGGTCATGACATATGCAGGTTCTGTTTTTAGATACATGTAACACTAGTGCAAAGATTTACATTTTTTTTAGATATACATACACAAACAACAAGCATTAGTGGAGATAAGGGTCATGGGTCTGACTGGTCTTTCTGAAGTCCAGATTTTTTCTAGAGACAATATCTGAGTCATGAAGACCAGAATTAGGTAACAACTAAAATCATACTACTATCTGTCTAAAACAGATACACATAGTTCTACCTAAATATTAAAACCATTGTTACATCATTGAAATTATCATGTACACAACTCAAGCAAAACTTTTATCTCAACTAGTAAAACCGGAAGTGATGCGTTGCTGTGCTCGAGTATATTGACCATGGTACAGAAACGCAGCACTTCACGAGATGATGAATGTTACTGTCGGCGAAAGACCGTGGCACATGAAACGACCCCACGCCACAGAAAACAAGCTCACGTCACGCCAACTCGACCTGAAACACGCACTTGTTCAGTCACACAAAGTTACAGAAAACACTTTCGCTTTCCCTCGAAGTAAAACAAGAAAAAATTCTCCTCTCTCAGCTTTTCTCCCCCTCCCCTCCCCCGGTCTGTACAAAGTGCTCATAGCCACACTGGCCTGTTCTGGCCAACAACAGCCTCCATCAATGACCAACAGCTCAGACCCCTGCGATGATGTCCGCTCACCGAAACCTGCCTCTGCTCTCCGGACACTGTTAAAGCTTCCTGCCTGCCTGTGCCTCTGATAACTGTTCACATTTGTTCCGCAAAGGCGTCACGGAGGCGGTGGAAGAGTGTCCTTACCTGTCGGCGGCAGCGCGTTGATATCGAACACCAAACTTCACTTTAACCTTCCCCGCTTTTAAAAAAGAAAAAGAAAAAGGCGTTTGGCCGTGAATTAATCAACAGTTCTGCAGCATACTGTACACAGAGAAAATATCCACCCCGTCATGTAATGACACATGTGAGTGGAGGCTCTGTTTGAATGACGGCTCGTTTCCACCAATCAGCAGCCGCGTTATATTCTAGTGTTTTCAGATTAGTGTAACGTCCTCAAAATGTAATGTCCAGGACACGTGTGGCACATTTAGGCCCAAATATTATACAAATTATAACAATTAATCCGCGTATCAACGTTTATTTGAGCATATTTCAGTATGGGGAACACACGTCTTCGATGACGTCCCAATATATACTTTAATCTCCCCAAATGATGAACTGTAAACATATTTTCCAGCAAAAGAATGTAAAAGTTTTCTGGTGGAATCTGTCCTTGTATTTGTTATCTTTTTTTTTTAGAACTCCGTTTGTCAACTCAGTGTCTACAATAAGAAAAAGAATTGAGTTCTTTCACACAGACATGTGGTCAGAAGTCAACTGAAGGGAGTCAGAGTAGTAATTACTGTCAGTTATTTGGTTTGTTTTTTATTGTTCTTTGATTTTGCAAATAACACATATCCTTCACAAAGAAAATACTTCTATGTGGAAAACAGGGATGGCTTGAATTCAATGTATAGAGTGCAAAATTGACAATACATTCTGAATAGCATGTTTTGATGTATAAATACAATTTTAAAAAGAAATTCCATTGCACAAGGTAACTTTAAATTGTAATGGGTGTAATGGCTACTATTTAGTTGATTATGTTACATATCAGTGTGAATTTAAGCCATTTGTCGCATTATTGTTTGAGATGTACAGGATCACAAAACAACGTAAGTTCTGGGCTATGTTTAGCCAGCCAGCTGTCTGGCTTAGTGATTGACCACAAATCTGTCCAAAAGTATTACTACTCTAGTAAAAGCCCTCTCTGCAGATGGACCACATGATTACTTATTGTACACAATATGTAAACAACAGCAGGTGAAAATACTCTTTATACTCACACATTTCAAGGCACTGTTTTCTCAGGCACCTACATATACCTGACCAAGATGAACACGTTTAGTGTAATAGTAGTATAAAGTATCAAGTATTTGAGCCCTAAGAGTGTTAACTTTTATGATGGTTTGGACTTTTGCTGAGAAGAGAAAGTAGATATATACTGTAAATTACCAATACCTGTGGGAAACGTTTTGATAAAAGCAACAAGAAGCAGATATACTGTATATATGTTATATCCAATCAGAACTGCCAGCACATTGATTGACATCAACCTGGGGATATAGAGGTTTGTGCAGAAACAGATTTATATGTCAACTATTGAGCCAAAAACCTGATCAAGAATATAGGCTAAACTTAATAACAAATTTAACCCGGAAACCATTATTTTATTTTATTTGAAGGATATCCTTTAGCAAAGAAATTTGTGGTATATACAATAGTTGTTTTTACTTTAAGTGTTAATGAAACAATTTCAATATTATATTTTAAAAATGTAACAATTATTAAGCTAACTTTTAGCAGCACTGTGGTTATAACTTACCATTCTCTTAATGTATCATCATTGTTACTGTCTATCATGCAACAAACAAAATATTTAGATTTAACTTACATTCCAAAAGACATATAAAGTGCATAAATCGGACGCCTACTTGTATTTAATCTATTTGACCTTTACAATATTTAACACAGACCCATTAAAAGCTTGAAAAAAATGCTAAGCCATAAGGCCTTTAAAGATATTTCAAGGAAAGAACCTGCATATTTTTTTCCTTTTGGCTAAAAAGTAAAATCTCACATGCAGAAGGGAATACTTCCATGTGGTGTTGTGGCTCCTGTTTTTTTGTTGTTGTTGTTTTTTTTGTTTCATATTTTATGAAAGAGAAAGTCTCTTTTATGTTCGCCATCAGGGCCATTAATCTGGATGATTAACAACCACCCTGAATGATCAAGTAATGGTGGGAACACACCCGGTTCCATCCTGAATGTACCTTCAAATGTAATCACACAAACAATATTAAGAGATGGTCTGAAATGCAGTTGTTTTGTGTTTCTTTTTGTGTGAGTTAATGTATTTCTCCAGGTAAAAGGGAGATGTTCTGCTCTTTAGACAGATCAGCCACAGGGCAAAACAAATGGATTATTTAAAGTAAAAAGAATTGTCTTATATTAAACACGAAAATACAGATTTGTTTAAATATGTAAGGTTGATGTGGAGACAACACTATAACTAGTGACAAGGAATAACAATAACATTTCAGACCCAGTAGGTGGCAGTAACAACACTCAAAAAAGAGAAATGGAGACTATAACAGGCTAAATCCTCAAATAAAATCTTTTAAACCTTTTTCTGAACCTCAGTTATTCTCATACTTATACATACGACTTAGTTAAACAAATCTACAATAATCTAATACAACATAGTGGAATTATTAATGGTATTTATAATTAACATTAGAGATGTAAAGACACAGGTGCTATGCTGGATAGCTAGCATACTTAGCCAAGCCCACTTTAATGTGATGTTTTGAGTGCGCGTCATAAGTTTCCAGAGTTAATGTACAACCTGCACTTGTACTTGATATAAAACAACAACGATGTATCAGCACACTAAACTAGACCAGTACATTTAAAATGCTTCTACAGCGCCTTCTGCAGGGGAAGGAGGATGAAGTCCATTTACTGCCATTTACAAGGGTTGTGTCTATTTAATCTGTCTGTACTCGCATTAAAATTCCCACTTCACCATCGTGGATGGATGCTCATTAGCTAAAGCGATTCCTGGCTGATATAAAAAACTTATAACTGGACTAGTATCCACTTGATCACAGGCTACAGTACAATATTTCTAACACAAAACTTCCTTCAGATGAGAGAAAGGAACTGCAGGCCTTTTTTGAGCCACAGCACATAATTGACATTAGAAAAATCCCATGTTGTACCACCAAATAAGGTCACAAAAAGTATATTTACAGCAACTTATACATACTCAACAATAAACGTTGATGAATTAAGACTATTTGCTGTGACTATAGTAGATAATTCTTTATTTAACTTTCGAATTTCTTTATATGAATTTCCGGTAGATGGCAGTATTTCCTGGCATAAAATGACAGTGACAATTGCAACAATGATGTCCTTTTTCACATAAAACTGCAAATCAAGCAATGTATTTCATGTGGTAATGTATTTTGAACAAGTTCTTACTCACACTTAAAACACAACTTCTGTGAAATATAATAATGTACTACTGAGAATGACAATTTTACTCCTCGCTTACAGCTCTTTTCTTTTCAAATCAAATAGAACACATTTACATTTTATTTATTTGTAAGAACAATCTTTGGTTTTGCTGTAATCCAAACTTGAGAAACTTACTGTAACAATCCACATTAACAATCTACAGTAACAAGTCACGGTTGTCAGATTCTGCTCTTCCTGCTTTACACTCGAGACCATACCTTATGAGTTTGTGAGAAACAGACTGTAGATTGTCACTGTATGTGTTAGCTTGCTGACTGCTCATTTGGGTTTTGAATAAATATTTGGTGTTAAATTTCCAGATTTTTGTTTTTATTTTGTAAAATTAAATCACAGAGAGCAGAATTTAATCATATAAATAGGCCTTAAATTATCTTCCTATTTCACATAGCAGTAACTGTCACAGCTCTTCTCAGTTCCATGTCAGCTAACTTGTTAAGAAAATATTCAAGATGTTACTTGGACGACTTTCTCCACCCTCAGCTTTTTGCACCAACCTTTCTGAAAACAAATAGTGGTCGGTTAATATGTAGCATTCTCAATAACAACACACATCAATGTGTATTAACTGATCATTTGTAATTAATTTGTCAAACTTCGTTTTAATGAGCTCAGTGAAGAGGTTTACAACCTGGACAGCATGAAAAAGAAAAACAGTCTTACAACAGTGTTTTTATTTGGGTTTAAAATAGACATAGTTTTGATTTGACTGTTGAAAATCCACAGCGGTGGATCATGAATTCAAACACAGCATGGAATCCCAATGATTCAGTGGCGGTGAATATTGCACATCCACAGGACACGGAAAACTGTTGCAACATGCATAGGTCAGACATCCTTTACACATACACACACACACATCCCCACGGTGGAAAGTCTCACATGTTAGAATCCGTCACAATGCCTTTGGAAGTATAAGGTTCAGCATTAGTGTCAAGCCAGGATATGAAGCTATAGATCTTGAATCTGCAGTCACATTGTTGGCTGTGAAACAATATTTAAAACTTTTTTTTTCCTCGATGCCACAGAAGAAGCTTCTTTTTTTTCCAAGGTTACATTACAAAATATAAAATATTTTTTCAGCCTTTACTTTTATAAGGCGTAGATTCCTTCAGATTCACAACACATACAGTCGCTTTGTTTTCAGCTCTCTGTCATTCAAGTGTAGATGTGAAACAGGACTGAATACAGTTTCCGTATCCTTAAAAGAAAAGTACATTTACAGAAGCTTTTGTCTCAGATAAACAGTAAACCTACTCTGTTAAGGCAAGTGGTGACCGATAGGTTATGGGAAGTTTGCAGAAGAATGAAAGTTAAGTGTGTGATAACATGACGGCAAAGAATAAACAAAAATATTAGTGCTAATGCATATGACAAGGGAGAGGGAGAGAGAGAGAGATAGAGATAGAGACAGGGATAGATAGAGAGAGAGAGAGAGAGAGACAGTGAGGGAGAGATGTCATCTTTACATAATAAAAACATTTTCACTTCACACTCCTATGTCAGAACTAGGTGCATTTAAAGTGTCTAAGACGTACAGTATGTGGTCCATACAAGCAGGTCAGAGTTCATCAGCTGTGTGTCTGATCTTACTCAATAATCAATGGATGTGAGTTACATCTCTGGGAGAAGATCATTGCTGTTATCTTACAGTGCCCGTTTTTGTTACAAAAAAGGAATAAGTGCACTTCTGAACCAACCCATTGACTAGGAACATACCAGCGATCCATTCATTAATGAACCTAACTACTACACATACCAGCAGGTGAAGATCAGGAGGGTAGAACATGCTGAAATCAAAAAGCAGGGACACTAGACTAGATACATTTATATATTATTCATAAATCATCATTGAGGGAATTCAAACAGCCAGTGTGGTCGCAGTGCAACAGAACTCACAATGGTTAAATGCATTAGTCATTCCAAGTGCTGTAAGTACATGATGGAGTATTTTTCATGTTTATTATTATTATTATTATGAATGTTGTCTTTAACAAAGCGAGGTACTATATTGTTCTGCCCTTTCAAAGAAGGCAAGCCACTGGTGAGACAAACATGGTGCTGGGTCTGTTAACCTCTGCTCATGTTCTTTGACCCTTCTTCCACTTCTCTTTTTTAAATTGAATAAAATATGAGATCAGGTGTTGTAGCCGAGTTATGACAGTTTCTTCAGCCAACACAGATGTTTCTGACCTCTGACTGTGTTAGAGCCACTCACACATTAGTTTCACTGATACTGTAGAGGATCATGATAAGCTGAGTAACACTCAGTGATCACCATTAACTGGTCACATGTCAACATCAGCTCCACCGTAAAACCACAGCCAGGTTCAATGCATGAAATTAAATATTTAAAATATTTCTTATATATTTATGCATTTCCAGACTCTTCAGTCCAACATGAAAACAAATAAATTATCAAGCATCAATCACTCCTCCTCCTTTGAATAGTTTTCCTTATGACTAACAAAGCAAAGCTGACAAATTAACCTTATTTAAGTCTCCTAGATGCTAAGGCTACATTCACACTGTAAGTCCATGGAACCGTTTTAAATCACTGCTTTTAAAGCCTTCATGTCTGATGTCTGTTGGGCTACCTTTTATTTTAACCCTTAACAATACACAATTTAAAATTAATGACTTGACTTGAGCTTTATTTGATTTATGAACTGGATTTCAGTTCATCTTTCAATCTTTCTATCTATCTATCTATCTATCTATCTATCTATCTATCTATCTATCTATCTATCTATCTATCTATCTATCTATCTATCTATCTATCTATCTATCTATGTAGGTAAAATAAAAAAAGATATCTATCTATCTATCTATCTATATATGTAGGTAAAATAAAAAAAGATGTAACTAAAGATGCTGAAACATGGTTAGAGGTTAGAAGTTTCACCTCAAACTTTGTCACCTTGAGGATACAGAACCTTCAACACTTCTGGCCAAAACCAAGAAGTTCATCCTCATCACAAATGGGTTGACGTAAGGTTCAATATAGTTGCACATATTGATATCAGAGCTGTGGCCAACCCACCATTGTCTTCTCATCAATAATGTGCACTTCCAAAAAAGTAAGTAAACACAGCACAGACTTGCAGTGTGAATGTAGTATTATCACAGTGTTGCAACAGAATATTCCCATCTACACGTCTATTTTCTCCACCTTCTATCAGATTTAGTTAGAACTAACACTTATGTTGATCTTGAATTTAATTCTGTGGACCCACTTTCCTAATTGTAAAAAAAACAACCCTTTTTGTGTTTTACAGTCCTTCGTTCCCTCCTGTCGTAGTGCACAAAACATGAAGTTCCTCCTTCACCGTGCTCTTACCATCCAACCATGCCTCTAACCCTGTCACAACATAAACATCACTACAGTACCGTGAACGACCGTTTAATCAGCGTTGCACGTTCAACAATATATATTCCTGTGCTTTTGTGCCCTCTAGTGTTCAAAGTAGCAAAATATAGTGTTAATTCTCCAATGTGGATAGCAGCGTTCTCCCTTTTTCATTGTCAATGCAACAGTTTAACAAGTAACATTTGCTTTTAAATTATAAAAAGCAATAACATAAAGATCACAGCGATAAAAATAACACACACACACACGCCTTTACGTCATTCAGACAAATAAATACAGCGGTTTAAAAAGAATGGATGGGGTGACAGTGTAAACAAAGAGTGAGCTGTGTGTGGAAGATGCACAGAAAGCAAACACTGAAATTCAATATAGTGAGGGGAGAGTGCAGATAAACACATATTTTTACCTCAACTTTAGCAAAACAAGAATGTCGACAAACGTAAACTTCCCCACACTTTCCTCCATTTTACAGTGTGGACATAAAAACACAGCCCTGTTTATTCAGTCTCCTTTACAATTCTTTTTTTAAAACTATAAAATAATAATAATAATAATAATAATAATAATAATAAAAACCCAGATAAAATCACAAAACAACGTGGATGTTTGACTCTCTAACTTTTCCTAACATGTCTGTGTACATTCAGGAACATTCACGTTCAGTGAAAAAATAAGCAGTAATAAAACAAAGGAAAAAACAAAAAAAACAAAAAATAAAATAAAAATAAACGTATATAGAATAAATAAGAATGAAGACGATTCATTGCCATACAGTTATGTCATATGTTACAGAGTGGTTTTATTTTCCAGTCCAGACTCTGTTGCCAGAGTGATGAGTTATTAAAGTTTCTCCTTGGAGGGGATCCAGATATAGGGTCCTGAATGTTCCTCTATGACCTGTTTGCAGTGGTTATAAATGTCCTCTAAGGTGTCTCCTTGAACCAGTGCTGCAGAGTAAAAACACAATGCTGCACTTTGGAACATTTGATGGAACATTCAAACTGATCAAACACAAGTCTTCACAGATAGAGACTCACGGTTTTCATACAACCCCCCATTTTTGGATATAAAACTATAAAAAATATCTATACACCGCATACTTTCTTCAGGATACCGGTAAGTGGTTAGCAGCCTGGTGACTCATAGCCGGCCCTCTATCCCCACTGTTGTTGTGGTTAAATTGGGAATGCTCGATCAAGCACCAGAAATTGACTGGTTTTGACTTTATCAAAATTAATTTAATTGAAAAGAATAGAATAGAATAGTCTTTATTGTCATTGAGCAGCACAACGAATTTGAGGTTTTATTTAGAATAAAATTGATTGATTGGTTGACAGCTTCACATTTCAGGTTATGGAGTTTGTTTTTTTAGTTAAAGTAACGATGCGACTTTCATTTTAATTTCTCTTACATCTTAACTTCCCCTTAAACGAGTCAATATGGTCATCTATGACAGAAGAGGTGTTGTCATGGTCTTGACAGCAAACTTAAGGTAGAAAAGACTAAATAAGGGCAAACGTGTCATTTTCTAAAATAATTTTAGGTCCTAAAGCAATGTTAAAGGAATCAAATTTGGACAAACACACGTTTGTTTGTTTTTTAACTTACCTGTGAAAAATTCCCCAAACTCCTGCTCCAGCTTTATAGCTCTGTCAAATGTCTTCCTGGCCTGTTCCTCTGTCAGTCTCTTATTCATGTCCCTGTGGTGAGGTAAGAACACAACACACATCAATAACGTCACAGACACTTCATTCTCACACCATTCTGCCTCCAACAGCTGATAGCAGCAAGTAGTGAGACATGCTATGATGTATTGTTAGGGGACAGCACCACAGTCTAATAGTAAGCAGTTTGGAAATACAGTTAGGGAGAAATGGAGCTGATAGACCGGAGAGGAACTGTTTGGATTATGGATGGAAGCAGAATACAAGTACATATAATGCAAAAGGGACGAGAAAAAAAAAGTTGTTCCACGGGACTTTTGCGGTGACTGCATAAAAAAAAAAGTTAAATATGAATAACAGATACTAGAATCTACCAAAATGAATTTATCATGTAGAGTTGGATGATATTGAACAACTCAACTAGTTTGTTTATTAACAGACCAAACTGGATACTTACAATAACGAATCAATAGACTTGGGTTTTATGAAGATGGCGATGGGATAGAGTTGTGCTACTTGTAGTCGTTTGATGGCGTTTCCAGACACGTCCAAAATACAGTGTTTACCCTGAGGACACAGAGGACGTCACATAAGAACACAGTGTGAAGTCAAGGCTTGATTTAAAAAGGTGTTACCCAATTTTAGGTCGAGTAACACCTTTTGAAATATTTGTATATCCCAAGTACTGTGACTATGACCAACATAAAAGGTCAGTATATGAAGAAAATATTTTATTACTAATTAGATTATAAAGCTACCTGTTAGTCAAAAGCTACAACTGACACCTCTGTCCAATTCTGGAATCACACACATGCACTGGTTCTCATTCCAGCAGGTACTTTTGTCCATTTTAGTCTCTGCACAGCTGCTTGTGACATTAGTATTCTTCTCCTTGATTTCCACTTCTCTTTTTGAGAGTTTCCATTTGGTGCCATGGCTCCAGAGTTTTCCAGTCCCTTGTGTTATGTACAGTACCTCTACTATTTGATTTCTCCATGTGCTCTTAGAGGGAAACCAAATACAACCAGAGTCTTTATTTATATAAATACCCCCATACAACAACCCAGGGTATAAGAACAAATATTATGTAGCAACACTACTGTTCTGCTACAATCAGATCAGAGTTCTGTCAGGCACAGACCTCACACAGGAGGAAGTGCCGACTGCTCACACTGACATGTTGTAGCCAAGAGGTGACATTTAAAAGCACAGACACTCACCCTTTCAGCCACGTATTTCACAGACTGGACACTTGTTCCGTAAAGATTATCATTGTACTGTCCCGCTTCGATGAACTTGTGCTCCTGGATGTCCCTCTCCATTTGCTCCCTGGACATCACAAAGTGGTAGTCCCGCCCGTCCACCTCATAGTCCCGCTTTGGTCGAGTAGTATCTTTTGTGAGAGGGGAAAAAAGCATATAGTACTAATATAGTACATTTCTAAAATGTGTGTTCATTTCTATGGTTACTTGCAAAGAAAACGTCTCTATCCTGTCATAATCTTTCTGTGAGTTGAGAAATGTTGCCACTGGTGTTGGTGCTGTAAGAACGTCTGTTGACTTAAACACTGAACTTTAGACTAATTAAGTTCTACAGTCCACTGACTAACTATATGCAGGATAAATATATAAATTACAGTGCCAAAAAAAAAACAAAAACAAGGTCAGAGCAGCACACATACTCTCTCACATTAAGAATAAAAGAATCCACTGAACTCCATATCACTCACCTTGCAGCTCTGAATTGACAGCAGCTTTATTTGGTTCAAAGAATGAATCAAAATAAAAGAGATGGAAAAATCAGAACATGCAGAGACATGCAAAAGAAACAACTCCCCCAAAAAACTATGGAACTTGTGAAGGAAACATGACATATAAACAGAGACAACTGAAGGGATTCTGTCAGAGCAGGTACTACCTTGAATACACATGCTAAACACATAGACTGGTTAACCATTTACATGAACATGCTGCATCAGTGTGTATGCAGGTTTTAATACAATGAATCTTCTTCTGCTTCCATATTCTTTATTTTTTAATATCATCCACATCTGTGAGGCATGTAGTAAAACCACAAAACTTAGCTTTGGATTTACTTTGTTTCCTACACTCTTCATGAACTTTGCTCTGTGACCCCAATGTGCATATGATTAGATTTGTGACCCCTAGAGGCAAGTGATTAAATAACTACCACACGTTTCTGTCTACAGTGTTTCCCAACACTTGTTTTCCTGATGTGCAACATGACAAATATTTCTTAAAAATGATTTAAAAATATTAGGTAGCTTCACTTAAAACCACATAATTTAAATATGTGAGAGAGAAGATGCAGCATGTTTCATTCAACAATGACACAACACAATTAATGGGAAGATGAGCACAACACAACACTACAACCTGATTGGTTACTTACGTGGCACACAGGAGCCGAACTTGTCTGGAAACTCCGAGATCAGGTCATCGTTGATTCTGTCCTTCATTGGTCCCAGGATAATGACGGGTCTGGCATAACTAACTGAGTGAAACAAAGAGATTCTTCTTAATGTTTAAATACCAAAAATAAAAAAAGCTTAAATAATGTGTTGAGATCTCATCTATAATACACACGTTCACCTCAGATTAAATCGTATTACAAAAAAACATCTTAAACAAGGAACATGGAAAATAGAACTGCAAAACGTTGTTTACGTGTAATACCATAATGAGGTCAGAGGTCAAGATACACTGATACTTTTCTCTTTCTTTTCTCTTACTGAGAAGTTACCATCATCTTTTTGTAAATAATGAAGTGAGATTATATTATACATATAATATAATATATTAACTCCCCTTTGGGTTTAGATTTAATAAGGAATAACCATATAGGGAAAAATATCTGTTTAATATTAAAACAATGTGGTGCAATATTCTAGTGACGTTGACAGAAGAGATGTTTTTGAAATGTTAAAATTTAATACCAACTGTCTATACTGTATAAAACTATAAGGCTAGAATGTCTGGGCACATTTTCCATCCTATGTAATATCTTCAGAACATTATTAGAACAATGCCTCCCCTCTGCCCCCCCGCCCCCCCAAAAAAACAAAAAAAAACATCAAACTTACTTTCATGCCGCATCACAGGTTCATAAGACAGAATCACCTCGTCTTGACTCCCTGCATGGAGAAACAGTGATGAAAAGTTAAATATATTCATGGAAATAAAACCACAGCGACATGCAACATGCCAATGTGTCTCTGTGGTTTGTTTTGGTTTCTCCATGATCTGAATGATTTAGTGATTAGGTCTGTTTTGTGTTTCTGTAGAGGTAGTGTTCATTTATTTGTAACTTGTACTTAGATAGAACTTAGGCTGTCAGGTGGTTGTTTGTTGAAGCCCCATAAAAAACAACACACAAGTAGCAGGAATATCCTGGACTGGGGAACTGACTGAGTTAATCTGAAAGTGTTTAGGCTACTTATATTGTAAGTAATGTGGCTCCTTAGTGTCCAAATGACATGTTGTTAATCTCATTTGGTTGAGAAAACCAAAGGATGGAGCACAGCTGGATTAATCCACCGTGTGCTCTACCCACCTCTAATGGGGACGGAGGAGGGAGGGTTTAGGGGGGTAGGGAACTTTATGTTCATGTGTGGCAATGGTTAGGTTTATTACTTCTACACTACTTTAGCAAAAAAAAGCTACAATAACTATATAAGCAAACATAATGTACAAACCAAACAGAAACAATTGTGATGTGCTTTCAAAATGTCATGCTCACAAGCAAAGATGGAAATACTGTTTAGTTTTAATGCCAATGTCATGCAAACGGCCATTAAATATGACATTAAGAGTTCGGTCAGAGATAGTTGAATGACAAAAAAACTTTTCAAAAAAATAAAACAAAATCTGAAATCTGTGTGGACTCTCCCATGCGAGAGTCAGTTTTGGTGGTTTATTAACCTGCAGGGGGCAGACTTGAAACCATCTTAGACTGATCAACATTATATTACATCTTTGTCTTAGAATAAAAGTATAAGAATAAAAAAATTAAGAACCATGTACCATTAAAAAGTTGAAAATGTTCATTTGATATAACTGCATGAATCGTCAAGTCTGTATTTATGATGGTTCATCAAAATGTACTTGTACCACAATTCCTGGCCTGTGACTATTTGACATGACCCCGCCGTGACTGAATCGGTGAGTTTAGTGAACCAGCGGGACACAAAGATCAACACTGTAGTCTGAGAAGCAAGACAAACCTAACAAATGCAGCATGCATCAATGCAAACAGGAAACATAGAAGAGGAAACACTGATCACCAACTTACTGAATGCCTTTGTCCCATACCCTTCATCACCTATCCCCAGGATGTCCTATTGGCCATCCAGGGAGAGAGAGCCAGAACAGGAGAAAGACAGGAAGGAGGACAGGACAGCCGCAACATAAGAAAAAAGGTCCAAGGCAGTAAAAAGGAGGGAGCTGTGTCCCTGTCCAGACACTAAGAAGCCAGCAGGGGGAGCCAGAGTCTGAATAATAAAAATAGGACTGGTTAAGGCTGGTCCTGAACGATCCCAGAAGAAAAACTGGGTCGTAGAATACGGCCATATGGGGCCATGTCACAGATAAATGAGCAGCACAGACTTGGCTCCACTCCTGCGGGCTGATCAGCATCTGAGCTGCAGTGTCTCTGCAGAAAGAGAGAAATAAAAACAACTACAGGAAGTAGGAAATAGTCACAAGAGGAAGCAGGAGGAGGCGTCCACACGCCTACACCTGTGTACCTGTGAAGAAGCACCTGAACGTCCCGTAAACACCCTTTGACCTCACCTGTGCCCTAACACTGACTGTGTCTTCGTGTACTGTTGTGTCAGTGAGCTTACTTACTGTCAGAATCACTGCCATCCTGCTCACCCTCTTTGTTCTTGTAGAATGGGAACTTTCGTGTAAGGATGAAATTCTTTTTACGTTTGTCATTGAATGACTGTGAAGGGAGAGAGAGCATGGAGCAAACAGGTACATCTGTCACGTTCATGCAGACAAAAACAAAGGCATTACTTGCAGATGGAGGGGCGTCAAGAAGTGAAATAAAAACTTTTATTCCGTATATTTTAGGAAACGGCCAAAGGCCAAAACACTGTACATCTGGGTGAATAATATCCAATTTTCTACTTCTTGACGTACCTCAGTTGCAATACAAATGTATAAAAGTAAAAGTAAAGTGAGAGAAGAATTATCACGGTCATGCTTTAGAGGCACAACTTAAAGCTAATCAATGTCAAAACACATGCGGGGTAGAAAAAAGAAAGAAAATAAAAATAAAAGGACTGGAATTTCAAATAATGAATGAAATTGTGTCATCATTTGAAGACCAGAGGGAGAAGCTTGTGATGTGTATTTGGAAAGTTTGGAAAGTGCTGCATATCAGAGTCAGAACGGAGTGGAATTAAAGCCAAATATTTAAATCACCATCACCTACAGTCTGTCTGCTATTTCTGGCTTTTAACACAAAGAAGTGAGTGAGACACCTGTGCGGAAGGGAATGTGGGTTAAAATGTGTTAAAACTAGGACGGAACTGAGAAGCTGAGAGTTGAACAGCAGTGAAGAAGGCACATTTTTAATAAATAAATAAAATAAGAGTTGCTATTCACTGGTGCAATAAGCCTATTCATAAAAAAGCCTCACCTAAAACTAATGCAGTTAGGTTGCAGAACAAACAAAAGAGCTAAAAAAAAAGGACTCTGTTCCATTTGTTGCTACAGTTTTACAGGAAGCTCACTGTCACATCTGAGCTGCAGTGTAAATCACTGAATTCATGTTATAGTGAATCACTCCATAGGGTTCGTGTTGTCACTCACCCCTTTAGAATCAAACGATCCAGGTTTGGCGTTGAATTTCACAGTCTTTAGACGCGCTCGCTCCTTCCTTTCCACCCTGCCGAGTGAAGGGTGAGAGACCTGTTAGTCACATTTAGGTGCTCACACTGACGACAGGACATTTATGGACAGGTCTAGTTGTTGTTGCTTGACCTTGAAGGTATTTTTTAGTATTGCAACAGCAACGTGGATAAACGGTGAGTGGCAATATTATCAGATTGCTTGCAATTCACAATAATCCCAATTTTACATCAGTTTTACATATATTTTCAGTCACTGAAAATATATGATTAAATGTGATTAAATTTACTGACTACAATGACGGGATCAATAAATCGAATCTATTTACGTTGTTTTAATCACAGGAGCAATTCAGTTAATTACCCTTTTGGAAAGCTAACAAACAAACGAGACATTTGTATCTGCAGCTCACCGCCGTTTGCTGGGGATAACGCCCATTTCCTCACTGTCTCCATGCGGAGTGACCCGTCGAGCCTGCCACCACTCATCATCCGAGGCGTTGATGACGTGGAGGATGTCTCCGTACCTGAAGCTGAGCCCCTGGCTGGGCAGCCCACTGTCCTTTGACTTCTCATAGTCAAAAAGCGCTCTGTTAAGTTTGAAAAAAAATCTACTGGTTACAATAATAAGTAACGAGACCAATTTTATATAGATATAAAATACAGCCAATTAATAATATATTTTTTATTTCGGCCTACAAAAATGTTACCAAGTAGGACAATTTCAAAAAAATTGCAAACCTAACATAGAGTGATCTCTTCTGATTAGTTCTCAGGGACCCTGACCCAGAGCTCATGCTGTGGTTCATCATCTGTTCACGCAGGTCATGGATTTTGGCCTCAAAACGCCCGTATTCTGCAAAACAAGATTAAAATGGATGAAGAGTGACGGCTAAAGAGTATGCTCAGATTCCAGAGCAAGAAGGCCAAAAGGACGAGGAGGAGAAGGAGGGAGAGGAGGAGGTCGAAGTGCTGCTAGAACCGACTGTGCTCT